TGTTCCTGTCATCATCTGCATAACGGTGAGAGCTTCAGGACGTGGACAATCATGTGTCGCAATTGGTCTCACTACTACTGGCATATATTTTCTCTTGGGCAAATAGTTTATAAAAATCATTTACAATTCATAGACACTATTGTGAAGTAGCTTTATCGCTGCACATGCATGTACACAAGATATTCTGCTTATTTGCCATGCTAAACAAGTGCATTCGTGTGTCGTTAGATCAACAGTGACACAAATTATTCCAGTAGGAGATATAGTGTGAACCTGAACTTTGTTATATCTCTATAATATACACTATGCATATTCTCCACTCTTGCTACTTTTTCTTGCAACTTGGACTCAACATTGGGCCCAAACGCCATTTGTCTAATTTCTCATTGCCATTTTGGTTGCAATCATCTTCTTTGCTAATTTCTCCATATGCTCATGTGTGAGAACTGACACATTGTACTTCCTTCCCTTCAAAATCTAAGCATTAAATGACTCTGCAACATTAGTTGTTATATTATTCCATCGTTTAAATGAAAATTTGCTTGAAGCCCATTAATCTACATCTCCTTGAGTCTCAACACAGTTAGCTAATTATGGACAAAATGATCTAAGTTTCCCATTGTAGCAACATATTCATCTCCAATCCTTGCGTAGGCAATTCCATCCAGCATTTTCAATGCAACCTCCTTTGAACTACCTGAAACTCGTCCCCTGGCTTGGTTAATTTTAAATAATGTGCACTAAAATTTTATTTCACATGCCTATAACAAAAAGCATGTCTCTCGCCATCAAATACTGTCCACACAGCACCTATATGGCATTATTCTGATCTGAAACTATTGTCGTCTCTACTGATCTTGTGATGTCTTTAACATTCTAGAGAAACCAAGCCCATCATCATATGTCTTCCTACTATCTATAGCATATGCTAATGAAAACAGTTCATTGTACCCATCATATGCATTAGCTAAAATCAATGTCCCCCTGTAAGGACCACTTAGATGACATCTGTTTATATAAAGATATTTCAACACCCTTCTAAAAATCTATTAATTGAGCATCCTAAGCAATGAACACCCTCTCAAATCTATTACTATCCAAGCCTTCCCATCGAGCAATTGTGTTTGGATCAGTTTCAATAAGCCTTTCACAAATCTAGAGGAATCACCATGTATGAATCCTCTGCATGCCCATGTATTTCCCTCAATGCTCTTTCTTCACCCCTGTATGCTTGACTATAATTCAGTGGCACCCCATATTCTTTGTACAAATCTCTTCTAATTTCATTAGCATTCTTATCTATATTACACATCAAAGAATTTATCATGATTGATGATATTAAGTTTGACCTTCTAGAGTGAGATACAACCAAGCTATCCTGTGCATAATGCATATACTCACTTCTTAATGTTTTTATTATTAAGAACTCACATCTGTGTTTGTCCCATTAAGTATGCACCCATGTACCACAGGCATCCCTCCTCCATACACTTCACAATGATTTTTTGTTAATTGTTCTTCACAAATTTGTATAAAACTTCTCAACAATGATATACCTATATAGTACTTGCCTAAGGACCACTGCATTAAAAAAATTTTGTCCTTCTCCAATAACCAACCCTTCCACTTTATTGAATTCATTTCTGGAATTGGGTTGGCATCATTTGTGAATCACATGGCAATGATAGTGAGTCTTCACTAAACACATTGGGTAGAGACATGGATAATGCATCTAAACCTTTGAACAAGTCTTCCATCCTACATAACACGACAAATCGTGGGTCATTAATGACAACCTTCGATCACTGCAATAAGAACTTATGCACAACAATTGACAATAGCCAACATTACTCTGAAGTAAATAATACAACTTACACACATGTTGCTCTTCTATTAAAACATCCTTTGTTAGTGTGAATTTTGATCTCCAGTTTCTCCTATATATACATGACCACCATCACCATTAAGTTAATTAAATGTTCTACTCCTTCATCATCTACAAGGTCCATAAATGTACACTTATTAAAGGTTACTGTGAATTTCATAACCATTCTATTACTTTTTTTCCCACAATTAATGCTACCATTGTTCTAAATTCTTTATGTGATGTGCCTTCCTTTATCATTCTTGTTCTCACACCACCTCCAATATACTGCATTTCACCTTCTACACACCATTAATAAATTGTCCCCTTATATGGAGGTAACAAAACAAAATGTTTCCTACTTGAAGTTGCCATCCTTCATATCAACCTATCACAATCACTTGTTCATAACAAGTCATATAGTTATATTGACAACCTTCGATGTACCCATTAACAAGACATACAAGGGTTATAACAATAAAAACCTACCATTTTCATTCATTTTCATCAAAACATAGCATCAATCACCGAAAAACAGAGCATCATTCACTAAAAAACAGAGCATCGCTTTATAACCCTAACCACATATAACAAAACCATACCTAAGATGATTAAAACCACATATGATTAAAATGAGCCTCCCTTGATAGTTCAAGTGAGTTGAATCACATCCTTAATACCCATACACCCACAGCCAATCAACTTTTCAAACCAATATTAAACTTCAAATCAGTTGTGTATGAAAGAAGAAAAATGTTGTTAATGATGAGACCTACAAAACATGAAGAAAAAACATAGCTGATGAGACCTACAAAGAACATGAAGAAAAAACATAGCTTGCCTAGAATATGGAGCACTAGTGCAGACCTTCGTTCCTTCTTTCAGAAGCTTCTCTTCCTCATGCATGCAGCACCAGCACACTAACTGAAGGCTTTCCCCCTCTGTTCTTCCTTTTTCAATCAATAAGGGCAAAACAGACTTTTTCATAATTCCAATATTTGCTCTGTAGTCCCTGGAGACTTAGGAAGCATTTCAAGATTTAAAGGATTTTTCCTGAATAAATTGTCTTCTGTGAGACCTATATGTAATTTTTCCTCTTTTTTTTGTCCGTTAACTTTTTCAATTGAATAATAAAAAGCAAATATCAATTCAAATCTAAATTTCTATTCTCTCTCTTTCATATATGGATTTATCCTCTCTTTCACTTTTTGAATCTCTTTCAACTAATAACAAATTTGACAAACTTCCTTTTTGAGATAATACATCCAAAAAATATGAATTTGCTATTAAATAAACCTTTCAAGATGATAATAACTACATTACCATTGTAATACAATAACAATATTGAAATTCCTTCTTAGATATTTTTACAAACACCTGTGTGCATGAATATTCAAACAAGTTTAACAAATTTCTTAGGATTCAAATCTATTACCCAATCAATGTACACAAGTTTAAAACTTTATAAATGCAATTCTAGATTTACCAACAATTTACACAAACCCACATTCCATTTACAGCACACATAGAATAACAAATTTCTTGATCTTACCCTATTCAGTAGAGCTATCGAAGAAGGAGGAATGCATAATGGACTGGGAGAGGGAGAGTGCAAAATGCACGCAGGTAACTGTAGCTTCAATAGCAAGCTCCTTTGTTTGGTAGAGTCATCGACTTAGAGAGGGAAGAACGCATGATGAACTGGGAGAGGGATAGGGCAGAACGCACGATGGACTGAAAGAGTGCAAGACTCGCAAAAAATGAAGAGGAAGAATGCATGACGGATTGGAGACGCAGCTCCTGCAAGCTTCGCAGTCCCAGCAAGCATTGTGGCCGCAAGGGGAGCAATGGGCGCTGGTCAGAAGAGGTGATGTGAAAAACAACGACGAAAGGGAGGGATGTTTTTGCGATGAGCTAATCAACTTAAGCTATCATGGAATTTTTTTTAAAAAATTTTAGCCCCTTCTCATTTGTTTTATTAATAACAAACAAGAAGGGGAAGTTCTCGTCTGTTTCACTAATGTTCTCGTCTGTTTCACTAATGATAGACGAGAACTCTTGTCTATTATTAGTAAAACAGACGAGAAGTTGGATGTACTCGTCTGTTTTACCCAACAAACGAGAACATCCAAGCTATTCTTGTTTGTTTTGACAAAACAAACAAGAATACTCACTTTTTCTCCTCTGTTTTCATAAACAAACATGAATGAGGGAAGTAAAAAGTATATTTTCTTGTAGCGCCTTCAGTGGCTTCCTCTGAATTTTGCTAGTCATTTAGACTAAACGGCTTCCTTTCAATGAATGCATTTTTTGTGACCCTTTATTTTAAGCCTGCTGGCCTTTTTATTTCATTATTTGTTGCATAACTTAAGAGGATGACCACTAATTAATCAATGTTGTGCATTATATATCTTTGCAGTATTAAAATTTATATCTTCATGACCATATATATACATGCTACTAGTTAGGTTTTAAGGAGGCAAAAATAAAAGAAAGAAAAGAATAATTAAAATAAAAAAGAAAGAAAGAAGGGGGGAAAGAAAACAACTATTTGTTAGATAAAGCTCACTCACATCTTTACGCTCCAAGTTAGTATACATTAATCATATCCATCCATTCTATTTATTTTTGAGAAATTTATCGATCCACACCATGTATATTACAACTCTCAAAGATTATATTTCTTGATTTTAAAATGTACATATATGTAATTGGTGGTAGAGAATTGGAATTACTGCAAGCTTATGGCAGAGTAATTAAACAAGTTAGCTAAATGAAAAATAACCCCTACACTAGTGAGTTAAGTGAATGAGTTTCTTTACACGTAATTAATGATTCAGATTAAATGCTTAGTTTTTAAGTTGTGCTTATTTGAATTTTCACAGTTTCATGGTTAATTCAGTTGTCTTCCTTTTTTTCACTTATTTATATTTTCAAGATTTTTTTTTTTTGTCATTAATATAGAAGTTTAAGTGTGAGGAAAGTTCAGTTGGACATTTCAAGGAGCATAAAAGTGAAGTATTAGAGCTCTTTTGCCCTAGATTCATATGATTTACTTGTTATAAAACTTTCTGTAATTACATTCATTTTTGAGGATTTTATAATAATTTTTTTAAAAAAAAAGAAAAGAACAAAATTACATGATCGAGCAAGAATTGGGGTTCTCGTCGCTAAGGGCCGTGGTGTATTTGACATCAAATGAGCTGGCACGTGCGAGAGCGGAAGCTTCTGGATCCTGGAAGACGTTTCGCACGTATCCTGGCGGAGCCTTCTTATCATATGCCTCAGGTGCGTAGGGACGAGGAACGACGTCGTAGGCGACGTATGGCCAAAACTCAGCCTTCTTTCCGGTTCGATGCCTCACGCGCTCTAATACTTTGTTGGGGTCCACGTACCCAGTCACAGTGAGCTTGCTTTGCTTGGGGTCCACCTCTACTTCCGTCACCCCCTTCATTCCTTCCACTGACTTCTTCACTCTTCTCTCGCACCCTTCACAGTCCATCTTCACTTTTATCTCCACCGCCTGATTATTAATTGGTTGATCAATGAACCTTATGCATAATATATAACAAAATATATATAACTATATAAATAATTTATTCCCTAATTTTGATGGTATATTTTAATACTCCATTTGATTCTGAGGCTTGCTTTGAATTGAGGGGGAAATAACAAAAGAAATAGAGGGGGAGAAAATACTAAAAAAACAAAATCTTAGAAGATAGTAAAATTTTTACTATTTTTTTGGGATTTTTTTCTTACTTATATTCTTTTTTCCCCTATTTTTCCTCTTATCCAAATTAAAGGTAATGTAAGAGTTGCTAGATGATTTTTTTTTTAATCTTGAATTTAAAACTTCAGCATAAAATGCATATATTAAATGAGTTTTTATCGAAGAAGTATTTTCTCCTGTAAATAATTACAACAGATACTTTAAGCAACTAACATACATTTTAGCAAATAAGTAATTTAACTGTTTTTTAATACCTTTAAAATTGAGTTCATTGAAAGATATAAATTTTATATTTTCTCACAATTATTAGCCTAATTTCATTTGCTAAAAGTTCATTTAATCATTTTGGATTTATAAAACTGAGTCTTCTTGCGTAACATAAGCATGCTCGAGGGCATGTGGTTTTTATGATTAAAAAGATTATTAAGATTTAAAAACTATAAAAAAAATTAAAGATTTATTAAATCAATGCTGCCCAACTTGATAATACTACCCCTCTACCCCTACTCCAGCATTCCTTAATACAAAATTTAATTTACACTACAAAATAAATTTTATAAAAAAAAAAGGTAATTATACTTATTTATAATAATAACATGCGTAGACAAACCGATTTCACAATACCTGAAGTTGCTTGCGTTTCTTGAACTTGTTCTTATGGTGCCTGTGACAAGCAGCGCAAAAGTCGGAAATGGCATCCAAAGCTCCCATTTCTAAACTGATCGGAGACCCTCAAACAGCTAAACGACGGTCGTTGGAAATCAAAATCATCAAAGCGCATCGATCTGGTGAAACGACCGAATAAAGTGGAGAGCGTCGTCGTCGATTGCAGCCAGACGGGCGTTCGAAATAGAAAACTTGAGACCATTGGGGAGTTAAAGGTACACTCTTATTGGTAATATATAAAGAAGATTAATTAAAGGTTTGATTGGCTAGCTAGAAGATTCTACCATCTTGTGGAGGTGTGTATAGCAAGGGGACGACACAGTGAAAGTATCGAGTCTTCTGCCCTTTTGGAAAGTGCATATTTCATATCAGGGTGAAAAAGTAAAAATTAAATAAATAAATAAAAATACTATGGGCTTGTTTGTTTTTGTTCTTTATTTTCTTGTTCTCAAACAATTTTATAAAATTGTTTTTAGAACAAGTTTTGAAAACCACACTTGACTGTGATAGTTTTCGTTTGTAATAATAAATGGTGGATAGTAGGTGAGAAAAAAATTTTTTTTAAAACTTTCAAAACAAAAAATAAAAACACAAAAACAAAAAAACATATTAAAGTTGTTTTGGTTTTTTGGTTTTTAAAAACATATTACTGTTTTTTGTTTTTTAAAACAATCAACTAAAAGCAACTTACAAACAAGTTTTTTTGTTTTTCTATTTTTAAAAACAAAAATTGTTTTCAAAACAAGAAACCAAACAAACCCTTAAATAATCCAAAAGAGTGTGTGTATATGTGTGTGTGAGAGACTACAAAAATGGTCCAAATTTTTGGATTTGTCATTACTCAATTTGTATGATCCTTGTTGTCCCAACCAAAAAAAAAAAAGCCTTATAGAATAAGGGGGTGTTTGGAAGCACCTAAAAGTGTTTCTCAGAAGCATTTTTTTGTAAAACGAGACAAATTCCTCCTTATATATCTCGCATACCGTAAAAACACTTTTAAAACCATAATTTGGTTTCCATCTAAACACCCCTAAATATGAAAGTTTTCTCGCAACACCTCGCTGTCTTCTTCTCTCCCTTCCCCGTCCTTCGCCCTCCATGAAGCGGACCCACAGTCATGCCATCTTAACAAGAGTATTTTGGTTATGGTATATTAATTTATGTTGAATTATTTATATAAAATATATTTACAGAATGTCAATCATTCCAAATGGACTTATTGCAATCACTTTTGCATTACATTCCATTCCTAATTATTAAGTTGATTTACATTTCTATTGATTCCACAAAACAAATAGGCCATAGATAAGTCATTGCAACAAGCTTTTGGCGTAGTGCAATAGTTAAAATATTAAAGCCTAATGTATAAATAGTCAGTATATATAGTTTTATTTTTAAATGTAGGGTTAAGATTCAATTTTGTCATAGAAGTTTTTGCACAAGAACTGTGGGTATTCGAAACATTTTTGAAATTTAATGTTGTTTTGAAAGCGTCAAAATAAGGACTACGTAGCCTTACTCTAACAGTAGTCATTGATTGTATCTATCACACATTTTTAACGGCCTTTCATATGCCTTTTTTTTTATTTGATATTTAACTTGGACCGCATTATTCTTTTATTTTTTAAACTCTTTTTGTGATAATTAATTTTTCTTTTCAATTTTTATTTTATTTTATTAATGTAATCATTCAAATCCTCATAAAATTATTCTTGTACTTTATTTATTGTTTTATCTATTTAGTACAAATTATCTTTTATTAGTCTCTTGAGTAATTAATCATACTTTAAATAAGTCATGGCTGCTCATTTTCAAGATCTCATAGAATAGTGACTTTTCTTACTTAGCTTTTCTAGCTTCCCTTAGGGGATGTCGTTTTGTCTTTAATGATCTGTTTGGCAAGAGGAAAAATGAAGTGTAAGGGAGACAAATCTTAATGAGTTTAATTTAAAGAAAGTGAGATTATAAAATTGGGTGAAGGTGCAAAACTATTTCAAGAACTTTTATTTAAAGTGTGCTCACTGCTATAAGCTTTTCGGAAGCGTAAAAATATTCATGAACTTGTAAAATAAGAACAAACTTATAAAATAAGAAAAAAAAAATGACACATAAGTTAAATTTGTCTAACTATTGTTACTTTTTGTGTTGGGGATCACACTAATGTTGTCAAAATACAAAATGCTTCTAACTTAAAAAAATAATAATAATAACAACAACATAGGATAATGATGAAAAGAATTTAATTATACTCCGCCAAACACTATATACTTTTTGAAAGATACAAAAGTACACATAAACATGAAAATAAAAAATTAATTCTCAATTTTGGCCAAAAAAACATTATTAAATTTTATGGTACTATTATAATAAAATTAATAATTTTAGGGTGAATAGATACATTTAGTCTTCTAATTTTATTACATCGAGATTTGATTAAGTTCTTTAAATTTACTAAGTATATTCTTAGTCCCATAATGTTAATACCATTAATTTCATTTAAAAATCATATGACCTAAACAGCTTATAATGACAAATTCTAAAATAAAAAAAAATAACAACTTCTGGGATTTATTTTGTAATTATTTTTTTAGGATCATATTGTAATTCTCTCAAATTTTATGGGTATTTTTACACATTTACCTTTTTCAAGTTAGGAGTACTTTTTTACTTTTAAGGTCCAGTTGTAAAAAGCAAAGGATGTTAGGCAAATTTAAAGGATGTGTTATTTTTATTCTGATTTTACAAGTTCATGAGTATTTTTGCACCTCCAAAAAGTTTATAGTGATTAACACATTTTAGATAAAAGTTTATGTATATTTTTACATCTTTACCCTATAAAATTTTAATAAAAACAAAATATGAAATAAAAGAGTAAAAAAATGAATTAAAAAGTTTATTTAGGAACACGTTAAGACATACTAGCCTCCGACTCAAACATTGATTCCCCACCTTTTAAGTATTGCTGGCCCCGCTCCTATTGGCGGGGAAGCGGGAGTGCGCAATAATTACATATGACCAATGTGTGTGTGTGTGAACCTAAAGAGAACCGGAGAACTTAAGGCTTGGGTCCAAACTTAAGTTGGCGGAACGAACAATATATATAACTTCTTATTTTGTTAGATGGGTGAAGAGATTTTAATGAAGATTAATTTAGAAATAAATAAATAACCTATAAATGTTGAATAAAAATATAAAATAAAATAATATTAGAAAATATATAAAATAAAAGAATAAAAATTAATTAAAAGTTTCCAATTTTTTTAAAAAAATTTCAAATCAAACTCATTAAAATCTTTATCTCTGCCCCTTCAATCGAATACATTAGTGTTCCAAGGAGAAGAATTAAATGTACGTGTGGGAGCAAGCATGCTTCTGCACTACAACATGTGATGATAATAACAACAAATCCTCACTCCATTCTTGACTTTAGAAGTTTTTGGAGAATTACAATCAAATCTCATGATAGAAAAAAATTACAAGACAAATCTCAGAAATTGTTTTTCTCCACTGTAGGACTTGTCATTACAGCTGTTCATGTTATTACTGGGACCTTTTAGTAATTATTTCTTTTCTGTAGGACTTGATTGTAATCCTCCCTTTCATCTTTGTATTTACAAATCAATTTATAAAATTTAGACATGAAGCCCCGCATTAGGTGGTTTTCCCTTCAGTCTCTGGTCCAAAAAAAAAATTTATACATGAAGCAATTAATATTGTCTTTTTAATATTTTTCTTGGCATGAATATTATTAATTATTTATAGTGAAATATGAATTGGAAGAGATAAGCAAGACTAGGTTAAATCTCATTATATATAATTATAAATATTATTTTCTTAAATTAAGTAATTTTAAGAACATCAATTAATTTTAACTAATTATACATCTGAGTCTATGTGAATTAATTAAATATTACTTATAATTAAGAATGAAGGGAATATAAGATTGACCCCAATTCAAGTAAGTATGATCACTATAGAAATCAATAGCTTGTTGATTATGATACAGTCTTCAGTCGTACTTCCTTTGTCCATAAATATAAATCCTAATTTTTATCGTCCTTTTTGTCATTAAGTAAATCATCATAATATAGAATATTCCTAAGTAGAATTAATACTTGTCCTCAAAAACAAAAAAACCTTACATATGTTTGGGTATTATTAATACTTGTTTCCAAAAAATATATCGTGATTTTAATTATAAATAGAGGGGGGAAACAAAATAGAAAAACCAATTTTTATTATATAGAGCAAAACTTAGGTCAAGTTGTCGGCATTTATTAATTAGGTCAAATATCCTAATTATACTGGTTATTTTTGTGTTAGTTGTTAAAATGGGTATGTGTACCTGTAAATTAACCTAAAAATATTTATAAATTTTTATATAAGCTCTTATATTGTTAATTAGAATTTGTACATTTTCATATGCACACTTGTTATTTTGTTATTATTAGTTATTAAAATTCGTAAATGCATTTATAAATTCACCTATAAAATATGAATACTTGTCATTTAGTTAGTTAGTCGTTAAAATACGTCTATGTACACTTATCAATAAATTTGATTTAATGAATATAAGGAGTTTCACCTCAATTTTGTCATAATATAACAGACTCTAGGTAGCTCCTTAATATGGGTTGCGTTTGGTTCAAACACCACCAGTGCAAATATTGCCTAGCATCCAAAGGGTCAAGCACATGCAAATTGTTATCATTCGACCTATTTTCTCATACTTGTGTCTCATTTAGTTACGCGTTGCTGTCAATCAATTTGCAAGCAATGACAAACATGTTGATGGCACACCAGAAGACAATTATGGACGGAAAAACACATTTGTTTAGAGTCAGTAATAACCCCAGTAAAAAGGGTATAATGTAGGGAAAATTCTAAATAAAGAAGCTTGAAATTATGATATTCCAATTTAAGCATCTAACATTTCAAAATTACAGAAAAAGAAGTAAACCGAAATTGAAATTTTGAAATTCAGAAAAAAATTACAAAAATGCCCTTTGATTTTTATTTTTAAAATAAGTTTAGAGCTCCTCATCG